TGACCATTCTTATGTGAAACTTCAGAGATACACAACAAGCGTATAATTTACTGTTTGATTACAACAAAATATTCCCTGACCCTTGAGTAATTTTGTTGTTACTTTGTAGAATACAGCTTGATAAGATTATTCAAGCCCCTTACGAATAATTTTTTGTTTATTCAAAAAGTTTGGTTGAGGTCACAAGTTGTTTACCAACATAAAGGGATTTAGGTTTAATAAAAATCAGTGGTCACAACATTGATGTTTAGATCGAATCATAGTCTTGTACAGTTAGGACATTTTTATACATTTATCACCTGCCTATGTTACTTGTCAAATTTTCTATGGTACCCCTGACTGTTCTTTCTTCTTTCTTACGAGCTTGAAGAGTGCCATCAGCTGAGACTGAGAGAGTCAGGGTTTGCAGACCCAGGGATTGAAAACATGGTTTCAGATGCAGCAAAGAATTTTCAGAAAAATCCCACAATAGTCAAAAGAAGGCCCCCAGCTACATTTGTACTTTGTAATTTCAACTGAAAAATATGAAGAATGTAATTTCAATATACAGTTACAATACCTTGTATCCACGTGACAGCAAACACCTGTGTCCTAGATAAATTGTGTCCTCTTGTCAATTCTCTGGCAGTTTACTAATGGTACTGAGTGACTTGCCTTCTGCTTAGAATATGTTGTCTGTTTCACACATACATGTAAGGTCCAGTCACTGCATGTGTACAAATGCCATCTCAGAAAATCTCCAATTTTAAATTCTTACAAAACTTACACAGAATACAATTTTTATTGCAAAAGAATTCAGAGTTTTGGAGGCATTTGCTTATGACATGATATACAGATATAGTTCCTGCAAAGTTATGCTCCAGTCACTACTTGTAAAATAAATAATTCAACTCTTGAGGTCAATACTCCAACAATAACTCTACACTGGATTCCACATAGTGAACGAGTCGGTTATTTGGTTATTTGAATGCAAAGTGGTAAGTTGCAGTGTAAGGATTTGTGGAGGAATCTGTGTCACTTGACAGGGTGAATGTGAACAGGTATACAAAATGTACATATAGTCTGCATGCATGCAATGAATCTAGTCTTGTTTAACCTACACTCTGTACAGTGAACGTTCTCTACACAGCTATCCCTACACTTGTTAGAGAGTCATATACAACAGTAATAGCTAAAATGGTACATAATTTACAGACCTGGCAAAACAGACAGACAGGTAAATATAATCATCATACGGTTAAAGTCTGATTAATGATTTATTTATTTGATATCAAATAGTATTGGTTGGAATAAACATTATACTCTGCAACGAAAAGATAATGTAGACTTTTCCATACATAGCATTTATCAAATACTATGCCAACCATTGACATCATTTACAAAAGTAAGACAATAATAATAGAATTACAGCGGCATTAGCCATTAATATAGAGTGTTGAACAACAATACATCTGATCAAATACAGAGTAGATTAAGATACATTTGTAGTAAAGAGTTGCAAAGGATCAAGGAGGATAGTGCGGTGGAGGAATCTCACAGGATTGGTTCAAGCTGAGCTCATGATTAAGTAAGTAAGTGATGATCCTTTACTATGAGTATCAGTGCATCTATCAACTGAAATCAAATATTGTTTCAACAGTTCCGTGCACACATCACATCTATATCCAAATTTGTACACATTATAGTGATATACATAATGCATAGTGATGTATAATCAAGAATAAGTGCACACGGTTAAGTTTTCTAACTTATGGACAATATGTTTCCATTCATTCAAATGACTTATGGAAAGCATATTAACATTATATAATGTATGCGGTATCATAAGCTGTCGATAAACATGTATTTATAAGTTATGCAGTGTCCAGCTCTGTTGGTTGCTCGAAAAATAATTCCTTTGCTTGGAACATACAAATACATCCTTGTGTTGCCGGCATGAGGCACAGACAGCTTTCACAACAGCCCTCACAATGTCTCTCTGGAGAAGGTTCTGAAGATGTAAGGTAAGGAAGGACTGACAAAAGCCTTGCAAGACCCAGTCTGTGGAGCATACGAGAAATGAAAAACTCTAATTAGGAATTACAACAGTTGGAATACATTCAGATAAAAACGTGTGGATATTACATATTATTGTATAGTAATGATATTTACAAATTATTATATCACACAAAAAATAATACTACACACAAAAACACCAAGTTAAGAATTCTGGACAATGGTGAATGTAAGTTTATTTCCAAGTTCGAAGCCTCGTCTTGATATAAAATCCCCAAATCTATCGCCTGAACATATACATTATTTTGCTTACGGTAAGTATCGCCCCCCTCCCCCTCTTTGCGCAGCAAAAGTCAACAAATTTTTTTGCAAGTCTGAACATAGCAACGAAGAAAACTACATTCCTGTACACGTTTCCTTACTCCTGCGGATCCCAATTGTAAGTGGGGACATGTGTAGCAGAGGTAAGATCACTCGTAGGACACAGTTTTAGTACCGGTAGCTTCGAATTCCGATCGGTTCCGATCGTTGTAAACAGTCGTTCTTTTACGCTATTTTCCCCATTATTTTATACCGATTAAAATTGCAACGCTACAACAATCACACCGTGAACAAAGTCTACACGAACCTGATGTCTTCTGGGGACAAGTACATGGCCCGAAATCGCGTTCCTGGTGACGAAAACAGTACTAGAAGGCCGCGAAGATCGTACCGCAGCCATTTTGAATGTGTATTCAGAGCTCCCCGCACGACCGCTCCGGGCGGCCGCCGACAGCTCAAATGAGCCCGCTGCGGTTCAGACCGGAAAAACTACCCGTCATGCTTCGAGAGGTGTCCAGCCCCCCCTGCTTAAAACATCGAAATCTTGCGCAAAAATTGGTCAGAAACAATTTTATACATACCAAGACATGTCCGTATAGATTTAGTTTGCTTAGATTTTACTTAAGTTAAGAGAAAATCTCGGAAAAGTGCTTGATTTTCGTCCAAAACTTGGCACGCCGTGGCTAGCTCACCCTGCACGGCCGCCGGAAAGTAAAGCTATACGGACACGCCCCACATGTGGCAGAATCGTGACCTGACTCCAAATATGGCATGGCACGAACTAATCCCGAGAATTAATGCCACAAAAAACAGGGTATAGGGTTGGCTGACGGCCCTCCGAACTTTGCCGAACCGAAAATGTATGCAGAATGAGGTGTCAATCACCCAGCCTGACCTGGCAGCGTGCGCCCCCCGGGGAGGTTCCAGATGCGGTGCGTGGCCGGCCGGAACAACAACAAGGCGCGGCTGCAGAGCTAGAAACTACGTTTTGAACAAGGGAAAACAGATAAACTAGACAGAGGGAAGGCCATACTAGCTGCGTCGAAGCTGGCAAATATTGTTATAAGCATTGTAGGCTATTAATATATGCCGTATTAGTTGTGTAGCTGAGCAAGGCTTCCGACAGCTCGGTAACGGCTTGTTTACTGATAATGTGAGTGACCCGGATCGCCTGATCCATTGTCAGGCATTGTGTTGCGGGAAAAAAAATCGACATTCTATTAGGACTACAGCAGTGATTATCGATCCTTCTGTTTTCTTTATTGATATTTTTATTTGTCTTGTATACATATT